TCCAACTCCCTGTTCTTTGGGAAAACAGTGGAGTGTGGTCTAGGTATTTGAGCCCCTGCACCCATGGGGAAGACCCAGAAGAAGCTCCTGCCTTTGGGCTGGCTCACCTCTGGCCATTGGACCATATGGGGAGTGAACCAGCAGAAAGACCATCTCTGTCTCCTCTGTAACTGCCTTTCAAGTAAAAGAATAAATATTTTTTAAGATGTATGGAGAGACGCCAACAATCTGAGCCAGACCAAAAGGGAAGTCAAAGGACTGGAAGATACACTTTGAGGGTGTCATCCAGCTCCTGGCACGCTCCCAGGGCTGCAGAAAGCTGGCAGCGGGGTGACCTCCGAATCCTGCAGTAGGAAGCGGTGGGCACATTTGATCAAATTCCTACTTCTGATGCCGATGGGTACTTGATGCCAGAGCCAGGTTGGTGGGTCAGAGGCCAAGGAGGAAAGAAAAGGGTCTGAGCAGAGAGCTGAACGGTGTGCTAGCTCCCTTCCTAGGTTTGTTTTTCCCGGCCAGAGCACCTGTGATTTGGAGTCAGATTTGCCTTGGAGTCTTGGAGTCTCCAGGTTTAGCAGTGTGGATTTCTGTGAACTACTTACATTCTTCAGATTTCAGTTTCTTTACATATTGAAGATGATACTAATAGTCTTACTGGCTCTTACAAGAAAGGAAGTAAGCTGTGTAAAGTGCTTGGCTCAGGGCCTTAACCAAGGGAAATGTTCTGAATGGTTATCATCCCCGCCATGCCCAGTAGGTTTACAATCCCCGGCAGCTGAATCCTGGCCTAAGATAGCTGCTACATGTTTTCTCATTCCTCAGGCTTCTAAGGGAAGTAGGTACACAGAGACCAAGGATAAACAAATACTTGTATTTTATTCCTGTGAGGCTAAGCTACGTTGACCTGCTTCAAGAACTAGATAACGGAGGCCAAATTTGGTCTTTTCAGTCAGAAATATGCCAGCCCAGCTCCTCTTTGACAAGGCAGAGGCTTAGATACATGCTTTTAAAAAGGGGAGGGGATAGGTTATTGCAGGTAAAGCCTCTGCCTTTAGGGCCGGTACTCCAAATGGGTGCCAGTTTGAGTCCTAGTTATTCCTCTTCCAGTGCAGCTCCCTGCTAATGTGTGTGCTGCTGCACCATGTGGGAGACCAGGAAGAAGCTCCTGGCTTCAGCCTGTTCCATCCCCAGCTGGCCATCATTCAGGGAGTGAACCAGCAGATGAAGTTCTCCTTCTCTGCCCTTCATTTGATTCTCTGCCTTGTAAATTAATGACAATCAAATCTTTAAAAAACAAAACAAAATAGTTCCTTAATATTAGAGATAAATTTGCTTACCTCACCAACTTTTCCTGTACTAGGATATGCATGTGCAAAAGGCTACTATTCCCAATGGGAATAGAGTGACCCATCAGGGAGGGGAGTCCTTGCAGTAATGCCTGATGGCCAAGGTCAAGGAGGTAACAGATGATCAAATCATGGACAGCCAACTGCATTGCTGATGAATGCTGTATGGTGTGTTACAGAATGGGGGGATTAAGAATGACTTGAGAAGCTGGAAGAATGGAGCCCTTTCATCTTAGCTTTCCTGATCAGCCACATCTCTTTGTTATCTGTCTGGGTCTGTCATTGACCACGGGCCGCCTTTCAATGAGGATAAGTGACAGAAAAACCTGTGGTTGTTTGCCTCAGTAGTGCTTCTCAGGGCAGAGGGCTTGTATACATCTTTTGCTGGATTGACCCTTGGGTATTGATGGTTTTTTAATGGCATGATAAATTGTGTTTTCTGTTTGCTGGTATAGAAGTAGGATTTATTCTTGTTCACCAACTATATATATATATATATAGCCTTACTGAAATCACTCATGAGTTGTAATATTTCCTCTGAAAAATTTTAAAGAATTTCTATGCATATAATCATTTCATTTCCTAATGATTAGAATTTGTTTGTGATTTTTGTGATTTCTGTCAAGTACTTGGCACACAGCAATTGCATTTCATCGAGTCATCATCATTTACATTGTTAAATTAAAATACATTTGAAAATAATATAAGGGGAAAATTTGTTCTGAACACAGGCTACTTAAAGCATTACAGATGATCCTCTACTTTGTCATCTTCACTTCAAAATATCATGAGTCAAAAATATGTTTAATACAGCAGCTGAAGATCGGTTAGTATAGCTCACCTATTGCATATCAAACCTTGGTAACACAGCACCTGTCAGAACAGAGCCAGCCCACCCTGGGAACTGAGTGGGGGCTGACGGAGGGGCTGACAGAGGGGCTGACTCGGAGCTGTGCTTGCTGCTGTCACCGAGAATCTGCAGGTGGATACCAGCGTACGTAGCTGGTCTGGGAAAGGAGACCAACCCCAAGTACGATTTCTGCTAAATGTGTATCTTACACACAACCATTAAATAAAGCATTGTAAGTCCCAACTATAAACACAGCATAAAATATGACCAAATCAAATGTCTCATTTATGTTTTCAAAGTAGTTTCTCAGTACATTTTTTAAAAATAAATATATTTTTTAAAAAGATTTATTTTTATTATTTTTTCATTGGAAAGACAGATATACAGAGAGGAGAGACAGAGAGGAAGATCTTCCATCCGATGATTCACTCCCCAAGTGAGCGCAACGACCGATGCTATGCCTGTCCGAAGCCAGGAGACTCTTTCGGGTCTCCCACGCGGGTGCAGGGTCCCAAAGCTTTGGGCCGTCCTCGACTGCTTTCCCGGGCCACAGGCAGGGAGCTGGAAGGGAAGCGGGGCTGCCAGGATAGAACCGGCGCCCATATGGGATTCCGGGCGTGCAAGGCGAGGACCTTAACCACTTGCGCCACCGCGCGGGGCCCTAAAAAGAAATATTTTAATAACTGAATTAACTTAATAAATAGAGCTTGTGTTGTAGTGTTATCTCTTAGAAAAAAATTGAGACTGATTTTTAGTGGATAGTCCTATACTAGTAAATATTGAACTCATTGAACTCCAGTTGTTCTGTAAGTTAGCTATATATATTTTTGAAAGTTTCACAATCAATTAAATGATGATTTTTTTTTGTTTGTCCGAGAGGCAGTTCATATGGACAGAGCTCCCATAGTTGAATGGTCCTCTGTCATTGGCTGGTCCTCTGTCAGTCACAGTCAGGAGCCAAGGGGTGTGGTTAAGCAAGATATTATGAGCTACCAATGTGCATTTAATATCTGCTCCTCTTGACCAGTGTCTGAGCTAGAGGGCATTTTCACCACCTTGGGGATTCTTGCATGTATAAGCCAACTACAAACTAACAAAAAGGCTAGGACCACACCTATTGTGTTTATGGAGTTAAAAAACTTATCTAGGCATTTGCAGTGCCTTGCTTTATAGTATAAGCTACATGAACTAGGTTAAAAGCAAAGGTTTTTTACATTTAAGTGCTGTGTCAGTATTGTGGGGGTCAGTTAGTAACCATAAAATTAAAAATTAAAAATTTTAGTTCACTAAGCCTAATTTTTTGAAAAACTTTGCACTAAATTGTATCATTCCTAATTGAGAACTAGGCTGGAACGGGTTTTAAACAAAGTTATAATTGAATTAGTTTCATGTCTTAAGAAGCTTCTAATATTGTGTAAGAGTCTTATTTTGGGGGTTTGGCAAGGCACCAAGCTTTCACAGATGATTCCTAGAAAATAATAGGAATTTATTAACATGACTTACGTTGGGGGGTAGGAGGGATTGCTGATATAATCAGAGAATGTGGTTATTAGTTGTATGCATATGCGTATTAAATGGTTATGTCCTGTAACCATTGAATTAATGTCTAACTAGCTTATGCGTGGTAAAATTCAAGTAAGCATTGGTCACAGCAGTTGGTTATATCCTAGAGTACATGGAACGAACATCCTGGCTCATAATCATGAGGGTGGAGAAGGCGCATCGAGGTGCTCAGCTACAATTCTAGGTCTCATTTATGGCCCACGTGGCCATGGTGGGTCCAAGCATACCCTCAAAAATAAAAATAAAAATAAAAATACCAACTACCTGACACCAGAGTTCTGTGTGACTATGGGCTAACACATGGGCAACAAGGGTCCAACTGCTTGAACTGTTAATAACCTGTACTTGCCAGGCTCTGCCTGCATTGGCCCGAAACTGACGTCCGATGTGGAGACAGGAATGAAACCCAGGCACGCTGATGTGAAATACATTGAGCCAGGCACCCCAAACAATTATGTGTCAGCGTTTTCAAAAAGTTTAATTTTATTTGAAAGGAAGGCAGAGAGAAATTGCCCATCTGCTGATTTACTCCTCAAATGTCCACGATAGCTGGGAGTGGGCCTTGTCAGTGCCAGGAACATGGAACACTCACGTGGTCTCCCACTGGGTGGCCAGGGCTGGAACGCCTGGACCTTGTTCCATTGCATCCCCAGGAGCATTAGCAGGAAGCTGGGTTGGAAATGGAGCAGTGAGCAGAACAGGCATCTGATATGGAATGCCAATGAAGCAAGTGGCAGTAACCCAAATGGCAATCCTGGTCCTGCAACATGGATTTTTAAATAACTTTTGGTTTGTGTCTGAGTCTAAAAATTAATACTGTGGCAGCAGTATACTTTCTTAAGCTCATGTAAGATAAAATTTTTCACAGAAATTATCCAAGGAACTTGTTACCAAAGCATGTATCTTAAGTGAATAGAGCTCAGTATTTGACTGGCAAGGAGTTTCTTTGATTATATGTCAAACTTTTTCTCATGCTGTGTAAAGTAAGAAACAAAATGTTTAAAAATATTGTTCCCAGAGATACAGAGAGATGTGTTGCTATTGTGTGTACTTTGTATTCTTATAAAATCACCTCTGCCACACATTAGAAAATTTTCTAAACAACTAAAAACACTGCAAATGGTCTTATGTCAGATGGTTTATAAACATGTTGTAATCTTCCCTAGGTTTAGATTTATGAAGCTGTTGGAGCAATCCTATTGGCTTACTACATATATATTAATTGCTGTTTATTTTTTACAAAGGTTCAGAGGGCCAAAAAGATGACATTCTCTGGATAGCCATGGCAGGAACGCATCAGATATGGGCACTCCTATTGGACTCTTGCAAACTGCCAAAGAAAAAGTAAGTGGCCATGTCTCTCTTTCCTTTATTTTTGTTCTTTTCTTTCATTTAAAAATTTTGTTTTTATTGATTTGAAAGGCAGATTTACAGAGAGAGATGGAGAGAGACAGAGATCCCATGTCTACCAGTCCATGCCCAGATGACCTCAGCAGCTTGGCTGATCCAAGCCAAAGCTGGGAGCATCATCCCGATCTCCCGTATGGGTGCAGGGATCCAAATACTTGAGGCATCTTCCGCTGCTTTTCCCACAAATGTTAGCAGGGAATGAGTTTGGAAGTGCAGCAGCTGAGATTTGAACTGGTGCCCATAAGGGTTATTGGTGTTGCAGGTAGTGACTTAAAAGGCTATGCCACAATGCCATTTCCCATGACTCTTTCATCCTGCTGATACCCACTATTTAGTTATGGAATGCTAAGTTATACTTCCGTAACAAGCAACCCAGGTTCCCAGCGCATCAGATAGGATTATTTCTTCCCATCAGGCATGTGTGCTGACCAAGCAGCCACCACCCAGAGCTTTACCAGTCATCCTGGTGGGGGAAAAGGGAGAGGTGGTGTCACTGACTGACTCTTAGAGCTCCTGTGTGCCCTATACTTCAGCAGCCGGTCAGTCTGAAAGCCACTCTTACCAGGAACTTGGAAAGAGCAGTCTTTTCAAGCACCCAGAAACAGAACTGCAAATACTTAGTGGCCTTAATCTCTCAAGGCGTAACTTTGATGTCTCCAGTCACTTGTTTGAAAAGCTGAGTGATTGGTAGTTCAGATTTTGAGACTGGATTTTTGTGAACGTAGGCGAGCCACTAGAGTTTTCTAAATCTCAGATAACTCAGACTTTTTTGAGATAGGATATATGTGAAGAGCTCAGCACAGAGTGTGACACAGGTGGTTAACATCGAGAGCTTTGGTGTCAAAGCAATACTCTGGAGTTCCTCATACCTTTGCGAAGAGCCTCTCCTGCTCTCCCTGTCACCCCAGGTGGAACTGGCCATGCTCTTCTCTGTGACCTCACCGTCCTCACTGCAATGAGAAGTTCACCTGTCCCTCCTTCCCCCATTCTGCTTCCTGCCCTCTTTCTCTCTTCCTCTTCTTCATTGCACTTATCTTTAACTATATCCTACTCCCTGACTGCCGCAGGAGGGCCCCTGTGCCATTTCTCTGCCCCTTGTATTTAGTCAGAAGATGGTATAGAGTAGTGCAGCTCAGTAAAGGTTTGCAGAGTGAGTGAAAGTCATAGACCATAAGGGGTATAAATCAACATAGGAATTAAATATTGGTCATCTCGATTACCTTTCTCAGTAGAAAGAAGCAGTTGCATGGAGAATTCAGAATATCAGACACTCCAGCTAGTTGGAATGCCTTTTGCAACCTTTAATCATGCATCTGGCAAACGTGGATTTGACTTCAGACCTGTTCAGCTCTGTGCTCGATGGTAGTGATGAATTGATAGGCTCATTGTGTTAAGGACGAAGTGAGTATGTATGGCTGTTCTCCTTGGTGAGCTTGCAGAGGAAGAATCTGATTTAAAAATAGTGGGTGTGGAAAAAACCTCTGCAATAATCCTTTACACTGAAATTGTCCCTAATAGATGTAACAGAAACAGTAAGAGTTGAGATTCAGGGAAGGCACCCCAAAGAGATAATCTAAACCAAGACCCGAAGAGGAATATGAGTTAGGAAGAGGAGGAGATTTCTAAGGAAGAGATTACACTGAACCATATCACCCCAACCAAGACAACACAGTGTCTTGTGAATCCTTTTTAAGAAATTTGGGGACTGGTATTATGACATATCAGGTTAAGCCACTGTCTGCAAAATTGACATCATGTGAGTACCAGTTCCCATCCTGGCTGCTCCACTTCCAGCCCTGCTCCCTGCTAATGCACCTGGGAAAGCAGCGGGGAAAGACCCAAGACCTTCGGCTGGGACACCCGTGTGGAAGACCAGATCAAACTCCTGGCTTCTGCCTTTAGCCTGGTTCACTCCCAGCCATTGCAGCATTAGGGGAGCGAACCAGTGAATAGAAGAGCTCTGTGTAATTTAATCTTTCACAAAAATGGAATAAGTTTTAAAGCAGATTTAAAAAAATGAAATTTGGATACTCTAGAAGCATTTGCAGAAAGTTTTAAGCTAGGAAGCAACATCATATTTTTGTTTTTGAAAGTGTGCTGGCAACACTCAAAGTGGGACTCTGCTAGACAGAGATGCTGTGATGATGTTCTCCAGGCAAGAGATGGCAGTTGCCTGAGCAGCAAGGTTTTTAAACCAATACCGTTTTACTTGGGGCATAACCATAAAAAGTAAACAGTTGACAGAGCTTGCTGGAATAGGTTGTTCTGGGCAGTGACTGTTTAGACATCATGGTCAAGGGCTCCCTCAGTCTTCTGGTAAGTAGAGCTGTCACTTCATCATAGGAAAATGGTCACTCAGATCACGTTCTGCTGTATCTTACCTTCCAGGATGCCTCATTTAGTGTCAGTCTCGAGATGGTAACGACCCCTAACGTTTTACAAGTCATAAGTGACTTGTCAAAAGTGACTTCCCCACTGGTTACTGGAATAAGAGTGTTGCTTTCTTAAAATGTTGAGACTCCAAATTTATTTGGCTTGCATGTTATTAGATATATCTCTGTGTCTTGCTTATTTTTATATGTGAGTTTCTTGAATATGGTGATGTTGAACATGTTGTGTATCCTTTTGCCTCTATCTCCTGCTGCCTGCTACAGAGCAACAAGGAAGTGACAGTCCTTATAGATTTTTGCATGTTGTGCCATATTGAAAAATGATTTGCATCCTAAGTCAACTTCTTCCTTTTCATGAACACAATATACTAGCTTTGCAGTCCTTCTGGCATAGGCACAAAAACCAAAATGTAGAACTTTCTCTGAATTTCAAAAGGAATCATTGCAATGGCTGTTTAAATGAGATTTTCCTTGTTTGGATGAGAAACTGGTTTCATTCAGTTAAAGCAACATAATTTCCTGTCTGATTCTCTTAAAATTGTCTAGCCTGGATACTATCTTTCAAAAGCGATTTTTTTTTCTTCTTTTTACTATTCTCTTCTTATAAATAAAAACACAAAACATTTTGAAAGAAAGTTTATGCTGTGCACTCTAAAGAACTAAATAATCTTTTTAGTTTTTTAGTTCTGTTTTGGAAACTAGCATCACATGAAGCTTAGAAGTCAAGAAGTTAAGGTAGGGAACTGGCTCATCAGTAATCTCATCATTGTTCTTACCTTAAAATTGTCACCCTGTCAGGAATTTTCTGTCTGGTCTTTGAGAGTAGTTTCAGTTTTATGCATTTCAGAGAAAAATCAGCAGATCCTATATAGTGGCTAAATAATTCAGTCATTAGGAAAACTATAGTGAATGTTAGGCCAACACCACTAGTTCTGTGTTTTGTTTTTTGTTTTTTTTTGTAACGGTGCCTATCACCATTGATTCAGTCATTTACATTCATGGATTTAATAACTGTATTGGACATAGTGGATCACATGTTGGCCTCATCTATGAACTTGTCTTTCAGTGAGTTAAAAAAGGGAACCTGTGTTCGATTTGCTGGAAGTGGGAATGAAGAGAATCGGAACAACGCGTACCCTCACAAGGCGGGCTTTGCCCAGCCTTCTGGCCTCTCCCTGGCCCCTGAGGAGCCCTGGAGCTGCCTCTTTGTGGCCGACAGTGAGAGCAGCACCGTGAGAACCGTCTCGCTCAAAGATGGAGCTGTGAAGCACCTTGTCGGAGGAGAAAGAGATCCCATGGTGAGGACATCACTTTTGCAGAGTACCCACTAACCAAGCTGGCAGTTTCTTCAATTGTGGAGAGTTAAGACAGTTTAGGAGAGACCATTCCTGGCCAATCCATGAATTGAAATGAAAATCAAGCAGAAGAATATGTGAATATAAGCAAATAGAAGTAGCACAACCAACTTGCAAGAGTAAGCTGACTCTGCTTGATTATATGTCAGTGTTAAGACTTCAGGGAAAAAGGATAAAATGTTGATTACTGATGAGAAGAAACAAATGTAAGTTTGATACTTGGCAGTGAATTGGAAAAAGCATGGGTCCAGCCAACCCAATCTGTTCCTGGCCAGGTATGTGACTGTTGTCAGTAAAGCTACACAGATTAACACAGGCTCAAAATTCTGTGACCTCTTGCTAGTTTAAATCAAGCAAGCTCTATTTATATACCTTGCCTTTCTTGTGAAAATTGGGTTTCCCCCTTTAACTTCAATAGCATATTGACTCATTTTAATTGTAATTTTAACTTACACCATGAATTCTTAATAATTGCTGTTCCTTTTTTTAAAAAAATAATAGAATTTATTTGCTTTTGGTGATGCTGATGGAGTAGGAATCAATGCAAAACTTCAGCACCCACTTGGAGTTGCGTGGGACAAGAAAAGGAATTTACTGTACGTGGCAGACTCCTATAATCACAAGGTAAGGCTTGTCAGAATTATGGAACATGTGGGCCTTTGTGTGCTCTGTTTCAAGTGCTGAAGAAATTGTGGCTCTCCTACAAGTGCCACTTCAAAATGTAGAGGAGCAGCGGTCCTTGACAGTGCATGTCCACTTGCTCTTTGCAAGGAGATGATGCCTCTCTGGGGAAAGCACAGGCTACCATGGCTGTCACCAAAGCTGTGAACTGTGACCCACCAGAACTGTGACATGTTCAGTAGATAAGGAGACTGCAGGTCCCCGAGAAATTAACGTCAGCTAACAAATAGAACGTTTTTTCAACTGTTGCAGTTACTATTAGCAAATAATTTAATTTTTTAGCAGTATTTCCAATTCTTGTTTATTCAGCACTTTTGCTTTTCATTGCATTTTTCTGTTTTTTTTTTTTTAATTAGTCAATGTTAATTCTTCCTGATAAGAGGCCAGAGCTTTAATATAAATGGGCTGTGACTGGCAATCAGTAAGTTGTACAAAGATCGCAGATCCCTGAACAATACTTGATGCTCTTGAAAATAAAGTCATTTCATTTCTGGAAATGGGTCCCAGTGGTAAAGAAAAGCAATAAAATTTAACTTTTTCTGATTAAAGACATTTCTCAAAGATTGTTTCTGAAAGACAAAATTTAACTGCAAAAAATAAGAAGAAAATAAAATCTAACTGATTTTAATTTTCAGCACATAGAATGGGTTTATCTCCCCTTAGATTGTAATTTTCATGTTTGACATTAAAACAAAAAATAGAACTATCTCATCTTTTTAAATTTTGCTAAGAATGTTAAGGACAATCAGAAACTCTGCTTTGCTTGATACTGCATACTCTTATGCACAAAGATGCGACTTTCAACTTTATGTTTTTATTCTTCAGATTAAAGTTGTGGATCCTAAAACAAAAAGCTGTATAACGTTAGCAGGAACTGGAGACACAAATAATGTTACAGGTTCCAATTTCACCGAATCAACTTTTAATGAGCCAGGAGGCTTGTGTGTTGGAGAGAATGGTCAGTTACTGTATGTAGCGGACACCAATAATCATCAAATTAAAGTGATGGATTTGGAAACAAAGATGACTTCTGTGGTAAGTCATCTTGAAGCCTGAGTGTTGTTGTTTTTTTTTTAAGTTTTATTTATTTTTATTGGCAAGTCAGATATACAGAGAGGAGGAGAGACAGGAAGATCTTCTGTCCGTTGATTCACTCCCCCAAGTGGCCAACACGGCCGGAGCTGAGCTGATCCGAAGCCAGGAGCCTCTTCTGGGTCTCCCACACAGGTGCAGGGTCTCCCACACAGGTGCAGGGTCCCAAGGCCTTAGGCTGTCCTTGGCTGCTTTCCGAGGCCACAAGCAGGGAGCTGGATGGGAAGTGGGGCCACCAGGACACGAACTGATGCCCATCTAGGATGCCAGCATGTGTAAGGTGAGGACCTTAGTCACTAGGCTACCGTGCTGAGCCCAAATCCTGAGGCTTTAAGACCGATGCTAAGATTCCTGGTGGAAGGATTTTGGGTTAGGACATCTTCAGTGACAAAGTTGATAGACTTAACAGAGTAGGATGTAGATGCCTCCATTTGTTCTCTCTAATGACTGTAGCTGTTGGACTTTCTAAAAGATATCCTATTATTTTTAAAATACAAGTTCTATCTGTATTTGCTGAGAGTTGGAGAGAATTTGATGAACCCGTGCTGTGTGCGCTGGGTTAGGTTGTTGAGCTTTTTGTGTCTTTGCACTGATCCTTGGATTAATGTAAGGGCTTTGCTTTTACTGTGCTGCATCCATTATGAGATAATTACCCAACGGAAGCTTAAGAGCTAAAGTAACATTGGGAGAAACTTATGTTATAATCAATTTTTTAAAATAAGTACAAGGTCTCTAATTTTCAAGGAGAACTATCTTAAAAGCCGCCTCTTAGTGAAACTGAAAAAAAAAATGCAAGAGCTTTTTTTCTTCCCCCTTAAAATTCTGATAATTTGCGGGATATGTGTTTTAAAATAATGAGCTCAGATTATCACCACAACCATTATTTCTTCACATGAATCTTGATGTAAGATGGATAACATACTTACCTAAGATAATATGTGTCTACTACACATATTTATAGACATGTTTATACACATGTTTATACACATATTTATACACATGTTTATAGCTTAGCTTTAATTCCCATCACGTGTAAACGTGTTGGACAGTTAACTTAGTTCTGTCTCATTTCAAAGTGTTGATAAGCTTTTAGCTAAGATGAAATAGTTTCTTTACCTACAAAATAATCTTGAGGGTTTATTTTTCCTGAGGGTTTATTTTAAAGTAAGCACATTCAAACTATAAGAAGAATGGCAATTAGTTTCTTGGATACAAAACTTACATTATTGCTCTGAGGTCTGAAAATTAGCTTCCTTACTCCACAATTACTATGGAGTGCTTCAATAACAGATTGTCTGATTTCTAGCTCCCCATCTTCAGATCTGAAAATACTGTTGTGGATGGTCCAGTCCCAGGAGAGCAACAGAGGACATTACCCAAGCTGCCTAAATCGGCCGCAAGCGTCAAGCTTTCTCCTGTGACAGCGTGTCCTGGCCAGACCCTTCACTTCAAGCTGAGCCTGGGCCTTCCATCGGGAGCAAAGCTAACAGAAGGAGTGCCCAGCTGCTGGTTTCTGACAGCTGAAGGTATGAGTGCAAGAGTAATAATTCATAAATTCCTGATGCTCACTGTGGTAATTTTTGCTATTTGTTATGTAACATGTTTACTCTATGAGCAAAATTTGAAGATTATGTGGAAAAACAAATTGAGATCTAATGCCACATTGACATTTTTCTTTTGTTTTCAAGATTCTTCCCCCCAACCCCTTTAAAGAACCATGATAACACCTAGCTTAATCCCACTCCCTGCTAATGTAGCTGGGAAAGCAGTGGAAGATAGCCCAGGTCCTTGGGCCTGCACCTGTTCCGTGGGAGACCTGAAGGGAGCACCTGGCTGCAGCTTGGCTCAGCTCTGGCCTTTGCGGCCATTTGGGGCATGAAACGGTGGGTGGGAGCGCTCTCTCTGCCTGTCCTCTCTAACTGTGCCTTACAAAGAAAAAGCAGTGTTAACTCACCAAAAGTTACTTGTCAGCTCTTAGCACTGTTTCTTGGAATGTGGGCTTTGTGTACTTGATCCCTTATTCTAACCTTGATCTTTATTCCCAAAGTGAACTTAGTTAAAAGATCTGGAGAAACAGAAGGGACTCTCCCCTTTCCAGTCACCTTTATTCATTGCTTCTTTCCTTCCTTCTCCATGTTTGGATCACAGTGTGAATGGGCCCCTCTTTCATAAACTGATGCTAGGAAATCTGCATACTGCTTGCCCTAGCTGAGCCTTCCAGCACTCTGCACACAGTGGACAGCAGTTTTCCAGTGCAGAACGCCAGAGTGTGACTGCTTGTCTAATGGTCTTCCTCTGCTCTCGTCTCCCACGCTCTTTCACCCAATCTCACTCAGCCTTCCATTTCCTCCCCAACTCCTCCTTCGTACCCTCTCACACACTTTGGTTCTGTACGTGACTCAAATCCTGGCTCGTGCCTTCTTACCTTCATACATTCTCAGAAGCAGCAGCTGCTGGCCTGGAAAGCAGCAGGCCAAAGAGGTAGTAGATAAACCATGAGGAACTGCTCCGGGAGGTTAGAAGGCTGGTTTGGGTGAGTGACTGAGCTCATAAGAAAACCAACCCCTCTTACTTTCCGTGAGGGTGAAGCTGACCAGGCAGCCCTCTGAGGCTAGCCCTGTGACCACTCAGCCCTCTAGGTTCACAGCATATCCGAGGCCACCAGCTTAACTATTGTCTGAAAACACTGCATACCTGTGTGTCATGAGTAGTATATTAAGTTTTAAAATTATGTATTGACAAGTAGCATGTTTATGTTAACTCTGCCTTGTCATATATACACATGAATGAGTCCTTGGAGCAAGTTACGAATAGTATATTAAAAGCAGATGAAGAAATCTATAAAGAAAATATTTAGCTGTTTTATCACTTATCCAAGATAATAGCTCTGTTATTATTATATAGGCAGATAAACTTCCAGAAAAAAAAACAGATAATTAACATTTTTGAAAATTGTTTCTTAGTGTTTGTATAGATGCAACTGAATATTTCTCTTATTTAGCTTATATAGCAACAGAAACACTTATTTTTAACTGAATTTTGTTCAGTATAATCTTAGTTAGAATATGTGAAAGTTTTTAAGTCTTATCTCCCCCACCCCTCCTAAAAAACAACATAACAGCACTGACACTTTTACAAACCCTACTGTTCTATATATGAGAAATAAATAAAGCATTTCAATGTTTATTTCTAGGTTTGGATATTAGAATAACAGTTTATTATTTTCTTACTTTGATTTAAAATCTGAGAAATTCTGTACTGATGTTCTCACTAGCAAAATTAAGCATTAAATGAAACAAAAAGAAGCTGAGCATGCCAAAGAATTTTAAAGATAATTTTTAGAGAATTGGTTAAAAGCTCCGCCGTAGAAATACTGCACTTCGACTGTTGCCTTGAGCCTTCCTCTTAGTCCTGTTTAAAATATCTTGCTTGGACCCGGCGCCGTGGCCAAGCGGCTAACGTCCTCGCCTTGAAAACGCCAGGATCCCATGTGGGCACTGGTTCTAATCTCAGCAGCTCCACTTCCCATCCAGCTTCCTGCTTGTGGCCTGGGAAAGCAGTTGAGGACGGCCCAATGGTTTGGGATCTTGCACCCACATGGAAGACCTGGAGGAGGTTCCTGGCTCCTGGCTTTGGATCGGCACATTACCGGCTGTTGCACTCACTTGGGGAGTGAATCATTGAACAGAAGATCTTCCTCTCTGTCTCTCCTCCTCTCTGTATATCTGCCTTTCCAGTAAAAATAAATAAATCTTTAAAAAAATATATCATGCTCAAGTTTGCCTTTCAGACAGCAGAATTCTGTAAGCAGTAAACTGAAAAGAGAGAGGCAGGAGCCGAGCCTGCGGTTGACCCATCCTAAGAACCGAGGAACAGCTTAGGAGCTAAGCAGTAGTGGGTGCTTCATCACTGCTCGGGAGACAGAGCTGGTCCAAGCATTTGGAAATCTTTAGACAGTGTTCCATGAACCCTCTGTTAAAATGGCAGGAATTGTCTCCGCACTTCCCACATGCTGCTCCTGTGAACCCTAGCACTGCGCAGGTCACACGTGCACTTCCCCTGCACCATGGCGTTCCTTGTGGGAGAAGCCTTGAGGGCAACAAAGAGATTTAAGGAAAGTTGGTACTAAAACACTTAAACACTTTAAGTAGTTTATCAGACTTTTGTAGATAATTTGTGTATTTAAGTCTAAGAAGAGTTTTACATATTAAAATGAACTGGAAAAACATCTATTTTTAGATGGTGTTAACCTATGGAGATCATGTATACACTGTAGCTGTTTGTAAAGAAATCTGTTTGTATTATTATATGTGTTTATTTTTAAAGAATTATTTATTAGAAAGGCAGATTTACAGAGAGAAGGATAGACTGGGAGAAAGAACTTCCATCTGCCAGTTCACTTTCCTAATAGCTGAACAGCTGGAGCTGAAGCCAATCCAAGGCCAGGAGCCAGGAGCTTCCTGCTCGTCTCCCATGTGGGTACTGGGTCCCAAGGCTTTGAGCCATCCTCAACTGACCTCAAGCAAGGAGCTGGATGAACACAAACAAATGTCCATATGGGAAACCAGCATTTGCAGGTGGAGGATTAGCCCGTGGCACCAGCCCCAGTCACTGGCTTTTTGATTATTACTTTTGAATGTTCAGTAATTCATTAACTTAATTGCAGGGTCATTGTAGAGCTAGGAAATTTACTTGTACTTTCTATTTAATGTCTGTTATACTTTCTATCTTATATCTATAGATTTATGTATTTGATAAGGGTAATCTATTTTTTTTCAAGCATTCTATTTCTAAAACTTATCTTCAGGAATCTGTGAGCATATTTGCAATATTTAGTTTGATTTTTGTAGAAATAATTTATTTTACAGTGTTCAAACAAAGGGAAGAATTGCAATAAATGCTTTTAAAATCATCAAGTTGGGAATTTCTCACTGTTGGACTTTATATCCTGTTTATATTGATGTTCTTTCTACAGAGCAGAAAGCCTCACACTTGGGAGTTTTCAGTAAATATTTGTTGATTGAATGACTCCGATCTCCATGAGATGTTTTCCAATTTCCTACAGTCTTACTAATTTACTTCTTTATTTTCTAGGCAACGAATGGCTTCTGCAAGGACAGATACCATCTGGAGACATAGAGAACATTTCCAATCAACCAACAATTTCATTGCAAGTTCCCGGCCATTGCTTGTCACTTGAGGCTGTTCTGTCAGTCAGCGTTCTGCTTTATTACTGCAGCGCGGACAGCAGTGCTTGCATGATGAAGGGAGTTCTGTTCAGGCAGCCTGTGCGCATAAGTGACACACAGCAAGGCTGTGGAGCACCTGTAGAACTCAGATACGTGTTTTAGGAAGCCAACTAACAACGGCTCACCACAGGCTCCTCTTCCATACCCCTGCTTGTGTCCTCACCATCACTGTAACTTAGGAAAAAGCACGCTCCTTATTTGCTTTCATTATTATAAACCAGTTCCTTCATTCTGGTTGTGTGCTAGCTAACCCAGTGACCATCATTGGAACCATAGTGTTATAATCTGTGCTGCTATTTGGCACAAGACTGAAGTCCACACTAGAGCAGGGAATATTATCAAGAAAATTTGCAGTAATTACCAATAGTAGTAATACTAGGCATTTAACCTTTCTTTGCTCCCTTATTAAAGGCTGTTGGCACACCTGAATGTATAGGTTTCACAGTAACTGAGCCCCTATGTTTGTATAACGACATCTGCCATTCAATGTGTAAGGCTTATTTTCTGCCCCACACTGTAGGTATGTTCATCAGAGTAGAAACTAAAGAATAGACAGCTGTTAAATATGATCTTTATTATGTGATTTATTTCCACTGAGATTTTTAAAGATAATTTTTATCTATTTTTATGGTAAATTATTTGTATTAATACACTGTTACTAATGTAACTTAATACAGAAAAGTTGAACATAGAATCTCTAAGGGCATATAGACTCACTCCTTTAAACTTTTTCAAGTGAATACATAGATAGTGAATGATTTTTCAGAAATATTATGACTTCCACAAAGAAAGACACATTGGGACATATTACTATGTGTGTAAAAGAATTTATTGCACAGCTGAATTTCGTGTAAATGGGTATACATATGTTGTGTGAATTATGTTTCACTTCTGTGTTGAATGCAGATTTGCTAGTTTGAGTTTTGTTTTTTGTGGTTCTCATGTTCAGAATTTAAATTTTGATCACTTACTGCTTTTTTTTTTTTTTTAGATTTATTTATTTTTATTGGAAAGGCAGATGTACAGAAAGGAGGAGAGACAGAGAGGAAGATCTTCCGTCCGATGATTCACTCCCCAAGTGAGCGCAATGGCCGGTGCTGTGCTGATCCAAAGCCAGGAACCAGAAACTTCTTTCCAGGTCTCCCATGTGGGTGCAGGGTTCCAATGCTCTGGCCGTCCTCAGTTGCCCTTCCAGGCCACAGGCAGGGAGCTGGAAGGGAAGTGGAGCTGCTGGGATTAGAACCAGCGCCCACATGGGATCCTGGCTAGTTCAAGGCAAGGATTTTAACTATTACGCTATCGTGCCGGGCCCCACTTACTGTGTTTTTAAAAATCACTTTTTAACTCCTTAAATGAAAAATTTCAAGGTTAAATACTTTTATACTATTATGTTAAAATACTGTAATACCAAAATACTACAGTAAGTATAATATATCCTAATATATTACTCTCGAATCTATTACGACTAAAATATATAGTGATTTTGTGACATTCTGTTTTTTTTAATCCCAAAAGAAATAATCAATGAGGTTTTTTTCTATTATCATAATTTATCCTTGTAATTATTTAAAAGCCTGTTTCTCTTTTTGCTGAAACTGGTTGAACGTACTTGTGATTTAGCCAGTCTACAAAATTTTCAGAACACCAGGTGAGCCATGTTTATTTATTTAATAAATGTTTATAAACAGCGTGGCATGCTTCCCCACCTTCAAAAACAGTGCTGAATTTGAAGTATGATCTTTTTAGCACCATCTCTAGCCCTTTCGTTATATTTTTTTGAAATATAGTTTTGAAACATAGTATTCACTTATTTTATTCTAAAATTAATTCTCTGAATTAAAAGTGTTAATCACAGCTTTGATTTACCCAGTAGCCTGACAATACTGGGTTTTTTTTTAACACAAGTATCAACGTAAAACTATAAATTATATGTATAAGCAATTACCTCATAAACTTTTTCTCTCAACAAACAGCCAGGGAAAAAAATGTTTTGTCATAAAAGAATATATAACACTTATATTCTCTTTTATGGAGAATAGGCCTTAGCTAATCTCATTTGATTTACCCTTCTCATTTCCAGTTAAAATGCAAATTTCTGTCTCAGGACGAAAGCAGTTTTACTGTCTAAAAGAAGTGTACTGAATTTCAGCTTGCTAATTTAGAACTAACTAATAATTTATTCTTCAGTGTAATGTACAAACAAACCGATATGTATTATATATTTGCATGTACGTTAGAAGTTGAAAAATATTCTTAGAAGCTATTCATTGTATGTTTCGGGTTAATTGTTAGGTTTATTCATTTCTTGTCTTTCAATGTTTAGTTGTATTGACTTCATTTTTCTACCCACTGCCACTGTTTGTTTCCTTACGTTGAAAGTATTATTCATGACAGGTTAGCGTGATCTTGCTCTGAATCACACTAAAGCAGTGTAAATAGGTTCTCAGAAGAGGCAGCTTCTGGGTCCGTGTCTGGCTTCTGTTTTCTGTAAGGGCTTGTGTATATATTTTTAATTTGTGCTTTTCTTCTCTCCTGAACTGTGGTGGCCAGTGATAGTTTCAACAGAGTGAAACTTTACTGTAGGTCACCTTAAACTCAGAGAAGTGGCATTATGCACACTTTGACACAATACCTAGAATCTTTGCCCTAAATTATTCTGCTGATTTGTCACTTTTTTTCCTCCTGTTATGATATTTTCCAATTGTTAGTGTTTGTGTGTGTGTGTTTGTATGTGAATTTATACTCGGGATTAATATTATCCCTGTAAAGAATTTTGCTTTTTCGAGCAAATATTTAAGATACTCCCAAAAGAAAATCTTCCAGTGTAATCACCTGAAAGTGTAACTTTGGCAAAGCTCAATGACTGAAAGAATTGTTTTTCCTTTACTATTTGAATGATGTTTAGATGTACTGTTATCAGGTCTTGAGAAACAAACTACTTCAAATGCAACCAAAGTTTAATGTGTGCGGATGAGTCTGTGTGTAGGTGTGTCTGCGCAGACCTGCACGCATACCCAATGCAAAGACCAATTCAGGAACTAGTCACAGGTTTATTTTTATGGGAAGTATACTTTTAATCTAAATGTTCTTTGCTTACTTTCCAACAACTGAAATATTAGGGAAGATATTGATAATACCTGTATAATGTTCTTTTCTACTGCACTAACTTTTTTAACCAGACTTCAGTCTGTCCATCATTGTTGGCTTGATGTTGAGAACAATACTCAAAACTGAGTAAATTTCAATAATATACAGTTAACCAAAAGCATATACATATGCATGTTTTAATTTTAAAAGAAAAAAAAGATTATTAATTGAAAGAGAAACAATTGATCCTTTATCTGATTCTCTCCACAAATGGTTACAGTGGCCAGGCTTGTTAGGCTGGTCCAAAGCTAGGAGCCAGGAGCTTCTCTGGGTCCCCCACATGGGTAACAGGGACCCAAGCATTTGGGCCATCTTCCACTGCTTTCCCGGTTACATTAGCAGGGAGCTGGATTGGAAGTAGAGCAGCTGGGACTGAAACCAGAGCCCACAGGCTGCCCCTTTACCTGTCATGTCATGGTGCTGGACTTTGGTTTTAACTCTATGTCTCTGGATTTTTTTTTATATAATTAAAATGGAGTCATAAGCATTTCCTAAAGTCACTTTTTATTACCGAAGATCAGACACTTTTTTGTGTCCTTAATCTACTACTGACTTTTTCCTTAATTATGTGACCTGGTAAAGTCAGAAATTATTATGGCATTTTTTTTCTAGTATTTCTGTTGTGTGATGTGATGCAGTGGTTTAGAGCCTGGGTTTGGATTCTAACTGTAAATGAGGCTTACTTAACTGCCTTATGACGTCATTTGGCAGTTAATAGTTAACAAAACTGTTGGTTATTGGTTTAGTTAGTTAATAAAATTCATAGCCCTAGGTACAAATGACTTGACATTTTCTTTGCAATTGCAATTTTCTGTAGGTGAACAGTCCTCTATCAGCTGTCTAATACATTAATATTTTCCATGCATATAAGAATAGACAGTTTTGTGATGTATCATATTGCTATTTATGAATAATATATTTATAAAGAAGCATACTCACAATGTTATTAAAACTTTTAGAAAGAACTGTGAGTAGTAAACTTGTCTTGAGAAAGTCCAGGCATATACAGTCTAAACCACATTCCTAGGACACAACCCAATGCTTACACCAGAATACTTAAATCTTAACCTAGAAGGCTCCCTCTAACGGTGCTTTACACGGTCCTCCAGGTGCTTTCATGCTGGCCTTACAATAACCGTCCAAGTCAGGCAGAGAAGTGTCGATTTTATAGATGAGGGAGCAGTTCTGAGATAATTGGTGACGTCGGAAGATCAGAAATGGAGGCCTGGTGTCCGGCCAAGGCTTATTTTTGTCAGATGATTCAAGGGTGAGTTGTGAGTCGAGAATCTTTTATTCAGGTACAGGTCTGCTAGGTCTTAACCCTACTGTAAGATAGAAAGGAAAACAATGCTGAATTAAGAGTACCCAGCTTCTGCGGGTGCTTTCTTAAGCCTTGCAGTGGAGTAAGAGTTCTTGTTATTTGTCATGACTTCCCTAAGTGTTTTATAGGTGTTAACTTTTCTAATCCTCACAATAACCTTACAAGGAAGATACGGTTTTTGCTCATTTGATCAGTGAGGGAAAAGGCACAGAGGGAGTTCACAGTATGCCAGCTAGACGTCACGCAGGCGTGGCAGACCTGCATGGCAGCTCCCTACTCTGTGTTAGCCCTCAAAGTCATTTCTTAAAACCTAAGTCTTTAATAGCTTTACGTAATAACTTCTTACTCCAAAGAGCCCCAAAAGTCTTAGCCATAACTGTATTTTAAAATTTAAATAAATTCATTTAATTATATGAGTTCCCTTTATCTACTCTTAGAAAAGCCTATATAATTGTTAATTTCCAAAAAAGATTTTATATACTACTTTTTCTTTCAGATATCATCCAGTTTTTCCTGACAAGTGGAATCTTGAGGAAATAGCTACCTACCATTCATTTTTAACAGTGGTGTCTTTGCTTGGTCCTCCAGGTAATTTAGACCTTGCTGTGAAGAATTAACTGAATTGTTAGCATAGGAGTGCCTAGGGTCCTAGCAAGCTTATTTGTAGTTTTTAAAAATTGTGTTTTATTAGCCAAAGCGATCTCTAGGAATACCGAGTCTTC